CATGGAGCTGGCTGAGGACCGAAGACCGCCGGCGCACGGCACCCTGAAATGAACCGCTTCTCTTGAAGGTACTCACTACCTCCATCTGTGGGAGAGAAAATGAGATAAAGTTTGGCTTGCACTGCTGTCCCGGCTACCGCACGGGGTTGGGGCTGGGCGAGGACAGGGGCCACACTGGGCACAGAGCGGACACATATCGTGACAGCAAAGCCTCCTCTAGGCCGCCTTGCTCCCTGGGAGCTGACGATGCTTCTGACGGGGCCTTGGCCCAGGCCGAGGCCGGCCTCTATGTCATCCACCAAGAGAGGGTCTGCTGAGCCAAAGACAGGCGCTCAGAACACGGGGCGCGCGGGGGGCGGGGAACGATCGATCGGGCACACTGCAAGCATTTTAAAAAGAGCCATTTGCATTCACGATATGCTCACTGCAAGCCACTGGTCCATAAATACCTGTGTCTGGCAATACTCTGTTATCCTAGGTCAGTAGTTCTCAATCTTTTTTTTTCCGCCCCAACACACCTGAGGGATGTGACATGCTCCCATTAGAAACAAGGCTCCTTGGTGGTGGGGACAGGAGCCCTTCCCTGGGCCTGTCCTGTTTCCAGTGCCCTAAGTGGGGCCACCACTCCCTTCCTGCAGCTCATCCAAGTGACTGAGGGTGACTTTGTGGGAAGTCGCAGTGGAAGAATGGATTTTAAGAGCAGGAAGGGGGTTCCCCAAAGCACTGGTTTGTCTTAGCTCGCCTTCCCACAGAGCCCCAGGCAGGGCAGGAGGGAGAGCGGAGATGGCTTTTGCTTTGGCCCCCACCCTTCAAGCTTCCTAAGAGTCCAAAGGGAGGTGGGTCTTGGGGAAATGAGAGCCACATGGGTGAACTTGATGGGAGACGCAGTGTCTCTGGACTTCCTAAACCTGCCTTTGACTGGCACGGGGGCCTGGGGGCGGATCAGACCCAGGCCTGGGGTCCCGCGGAACTGTGTCTAGGTGGCCCCAGTGAATGTCTCCCTATCTGCAGAGCATGTTCCTAGATTCTGGGAGGCCAGCCCAGTGTGGTGCACTATTGGCTGCTTCTTTGGGAATGCCCCCGGTGGTGGAGGGAGGGGAGTTTTGGCCTTAGAAGGTGGCTCTGATGTCTGGAAAGTGCCTTGTAGTTTGCTGTGGCACTACAGCCATCACAGAGAATGTGATCAGCAGAGCAAGTATATACTTCTGGAGACCAGACCACACTGCCGGCCTGCTCTGGGCTCTGTGCCAGGGCCCCCACCCCCAGGCCCCCAGGTAGCTACATGGTAGCTGCCAGGTTCAGGGGTGCGTCTGCCACGGGCCCAGGCTCTTGGAAGAAGGCAGCTCGAGTGCTCAGACTCCCCTCACCCCAACCAAAATGAGGATGTCCGTCATTGCCACCCCCAGACGTGCTGCGAGACAGACTTATTGTCACAGGCTCGGCCGCTGAGCTCCCTCTTCTGCCCAGCACATCCCGCTCAAGAGCAGGGGACCCTCGTGCCGGGACTGAGGCCCGTGAGTCAGGCGTACTGAGTGCCCATGGGGGACTGGCGCGGTGCCGAGCGACCAGCGCACGGCAGCAAGGTGACCCCTGCCAGCCATGATGGGGGGGTCTCCCCCTCAGACTGAGGTGTTTCTAAGGCTCTGGAGACAGGTCTGTCTCAAGAGGGGACTCTTTCTGGGGCAAAGGTGATGAGGGAAGGGCAAGATGCCTTTCTTGCCTCTGCTTTGGCATCTCCGTGTGGTGGCACGACTGGACAGTCTAAATACTGCAGAATTGTCGCCCAGCCCACCCTGAAAGCCCACACACTGGGCTGGGAACATGGCTTAAGCTTCTCCACGTTCCGAGTTTTGAGGACCCTGATTCTGGACGACACCCTAGCCGCCAGGTGTGTTGCTACATTAGCATGGGGCGGAGGTGACAGCAGATGGGAAATGCCTTCCCTGAGCAACAGAAAAAGCTGTGCAGGCCTCCGAAATCTGGGGAGCACTTTCATGTTTTGAAACCTCAGAAATGCAGGCCTGGTTGCCTCGAGAAAGTTCCTCTCGGCTTGGGATGTCTACAAGCTGAGAGACTTTATTTCTCCCAGACTTTCTGTTTTTCAAGCGGGTATTTTGACTCAAAAAGAATAGAGGCTTTGCAAAGTAAGCTCAAGTAACCCATGGCTTCAGTATTGTTGAGAAGCGCAGTGAATCTGCTGGGACAAAATCAAGATCCTGCAAAGAAATGAGTGCCTCTGCGGAGAGGACAAGGCTAAGGGATAGGAGAGGGAAGCTTGGGCCACCTCAGGCCAGTCCCTTCTCTCTGGGCCCCATTGCCTCGTGTGCAAAGCAGGGACCTGACTGGCCAGGAACTCCAAGCCTCCGACTGCAAGGACCCGCTCTACTAACCCGGCAGCAGTGTCAGCCCAAGAGGCCGCAGGCACTAAGGAGACAGATACGCAGGTGGCTGGGGCACCACCGACCTCCTCCCAGACACCTCAGATTGGGGTGGGGCTGAGGACTTAGCTGCTAAAGAGCTAACGCTGAATTAGGCTCATGGACGGAAGCAGACGGGCTGAGCAGGCTTTAGCTGGCTCCGGCTCTGCCCCAGACCCCAGCACAACACCCAAGAGACTGCTGGGGCCAGGACGGGGCAGGGAGGGGGGTGCTCAGAGTTGAACATTGGGCAGATGGTGGGGGAGAGTGGGGCGGCTGGCTGGGAGGGCTACTCCATTCTACTGGGGACTCAATGTTCCTGCCGGACTTGAGACATTCTTTCTCAGCCACATGGGCCGACGTGCTTGGGACGCCAGGAGGGATGAGCCACCTCACCCAGCCCTACAGGATCCGGAGCTCCGGGCAGCCCGGGCTCTGCAGCCTTGGAAGGTTCCCCGGGGCAGTCTGCACCTCACTGATTCCAGTGCCTTGGGCTGGGAGCACAGATCCCGCATGTAGAACTGGCTGTCGTAAGCATGTGTGCTGCATTGGCGGGACGGAGAGGACTCTGAGAAGGCTTCACTAGGCAGCAGCCTTTGAGCAGGCTGCTGTAGGATGAGAGGGACCCCCGGGGGATGCAGTGGGGCCTGGGGAGGCCTGAGGCCAAGACAGTGGCCAACATAGACACTGAGCCAAGTGGGCAAGCAGAGCAGGCATCTGGAAAGGCAGCAGGGGTTACGGGGCACAGGGTGTTGGGGGAAATGTCAAGGGGCAGAGGCTTGAAGGCCACGGTCAGGACCCTGGACTTCACCCTTAGGATGAGGAGAGAGGCTACACGGGCCACAGAGCAGGAGGTGGTGTTGGAGGGGCTGCGCTGAGCAAAACTCAGTGGAGCTTCTGTTGGGGGAGGAGAGGAGGGGAGCCCAGAGGCTGGCCTCCTGGGGGTTGTGTGGGAGCAGCCGTGCACTGGGAGGCGCTTTGTGTGCCTTGCATGGAAGATTCTTTGGAATGAGCCTGTGATCATGTGTGACTCTACAGGCAAACACTGGGGAGAGGTGTGGTCTCAGGTCTTGCCCAGACCAAGGGGACCACGGCAGGAAGTTGCCTAAACTCCAGAGAAGGGCTGGGCTGGGTGCATGGTGGAATCCCCAGGAAAAGGAGCAATTGGAGCTGGGTCAGGGCAGGGGCTGGGGGTCCCGGACAGAGCATAGCCAGAGGCCAGTGGCCAGGCAGGAGGAAGCCCAGGAAGGGCAGGGCAGGGTGTGATGGGTGTCACCAGGCGGCTGCAGGTGTTCAGGGTGAACACAGGGAGCCTCCCTCCAGGCATAGACATGGGTGGCTGGGCCAGGAGGACTTTGGGTGAGGGGTGCAGGGAGGGCGTGTCTGGACTGGGGATGTGCATGCAAGGGGGTGGAGCTGAGCCGAAGGCACTAGGTGGATGTGGAGACAAGAAGAGGCTCTGGCAGTGGAAGTAATAGAATCATCTCCATCAGGAGCTGGGGGGCTGGGAGGAGGTGTGCTCGGGGTGGTGGTGCCTGTGGTCTGGGCTTAGCTGAGCCCAAGGTGGGTGCTGTGGTGCCTCTTGGTGTGGGTGTGGCACTCTGGGGTTCCTGGCCGGGCAGAGGAGGAGGTGGTGCATGAGGGGTGCCTGGTCGCCATCTGGAAACTGAAGGGAGGGCCAGGCTGTGAGGAATTGGCAAGCAGAGACCAGCGCCCCTGGTCCGTGGGATTTTCAGCAAGCAAGCTGCACAGTCTGAAACAGGACAGACCAAGGTCTTAGCAGGAGGTGGGAGTCACAGGCCAGCAAGGATGAGGAGCAGGCAGCGAGATGGAAGGACAGCAGGCCGCCAGGAAAGCAGGGCTGACCACACTTCAGGGAAAGGCGCTAGGAGGCAGCTTCCAAGCAGACCTTGGTGAGAACTGCCTCCGAGTGTTGAGGGAAGACACCGGACTGTGGTGGAGTCACCAGTGAGGGCCAGGGAGAGCCTCGGGGAAACAGTGAGCGTGCAATATTCTGGCAAGAAGGCTGGCCGGGAAGAGTTAGGGGCAGGGAGCAAGAGTGGCTCTGTCAGGGGGACTCTCGTGAAGCCTTCGCAAGTGCCCGCAGCTGAGCGGTCGCTGTGACCGCCTGACTTTGGAGAGGACTACTGCTGACTGCCTCGGCTTCAACCAGCAGTGGTGAGCTCGTCAAAGGCCATTTGAAATGAGCACCTACCTCATCCTGAGAATGTCACTTCCCCATGACCTGGGAGAGTTCCCAGCAAATAAAACAAATCCCAGCAGCTATTCGAACAGCCCCCACTGCCCCGAGACACAGCTCTCAGTCACCGCATGCCCTTGGCTGACACCTGCGCGCACTACGGGGAGGGCCGCCTGGGCCCTGAGGGAGGTGTCAGGGAGAAGCCATCTCAGTGCCTCGATGGTCTTTGGACACACCCAGCAGCTGCCCTTGTGGTCGTAGCAGCAAGGCCCCAGGGCATCCCTGTTGGGCTCGGGCTCGCCTCACCCATTCTCTGCCTCTTGCTGGCTTGCCACCCTCTGGAGGCAGGAACGCCAGAGTAGGTGAGTGGCACGGCGGCTTACCTGCGTCTGGATCCGGTTGAGGCCCCGGAACCAGAGGATCTGGCCTCTGCGGAGCTCGCGCTCGGCGTGGTCGATCTCTTCTTCGCCCTCCGCCAGCTCCTCGTCCGTCATCTCGTCCTGTCCGGGCCCGTGTCCAGCTTCCTTCAGGCACTTGAGCTGGCTGGTGGGGATGGTGGCGATGACCTGGCCAGGAGGCAGAGGTGGCTGTCAGGGCTGGGCTGTGCTTTTCGGGGTGGAAGCTCTGCTGGGGCTGGAGAGGAGCCCAGAGTGTCCCCCTCTGTCTGACGCACGCCAAAGCCGGTGCCCATGCCCCCCGCCTTCCGGCATCTTCCTGAGGGGCAGCCCCGGGGGCCTGCAGCTGCTCCCCAGACGGAGGGGCCGCCTCTTTCCCTGGACACTGCGGGTTTCTGTGTTTAAGCGGAGCGAGCAGGCGGAAAGCAGTCCTGTGGAAGCGGGTACTGAGATCGGAGGTCACTGGGGGCCATGGAGCGTTTCCCAGTGAGGGGGCAGTGATGTAGCTGGAGCCCAGAGCCCTGGGCGGGGGCCTGCAGGGACCCCATGTCCCTGTCCATGGGCCCACCTCCATCAGCGTGCAGAGGAGCAGCCAGTGCGGCCTTCCTACGTGGCATGTAAGGCAGAGAGAGGCCTGGCCTTGGACCCCAGCTCCTGGGAGGGCACCTCTAGGCCCTGGCATGTCCTGCCTGATGAGAAGGTCTTGTTTGCCTGGGGCCGAGGGCCCTGCCAGGCAGTCTCTGCCAACGGCGTGATTCCTGGTGGGGCCTCGGGCCACACGTCTCAGCTTGACCTCCAGGGTGCATGGACCCAGGAACTCAGGTCAGCTGGGCGGGTGCTCTGGGCCTCCAGGACCGATCCCCATCAAGTCCCTGGACAGCAGCGCTCAGGGAGCGTCCCTGGTGACAGCAGCCCGTGCGTGTTGTCACCTATCACCGCCGGGAGAAAGGCCGCTGTCCCACAACTTGGCTGGCAGGGCTCTGGGAGCTCGCGCCTGGTCTCTCCTGGACCTGCTGTACCTAAGCGTGACCTTGGACCTCCAGCCTCCAGAGAATAGCATCTGCCACGGAAGCCGCCCGGTGTGGGGTAGTTTGTGAGGGGGCCTGAGGTGGCTAAGGTACAGGACAAAGTGGATCCTGAACTCAGCCTCCTACACTAATGTTCTAGAACTCTGGAGAAAGGCTGTCAGAGGGCTCTTGTGGGCCCACGGCCTGGTCTGGCCCTTCCTGGGATCTGCCCAGCCCCGGCACCGAGGTCTCCCTTCCTGATAGGACCTTTGGCCCTGTGAACTGGCTGCAGCCACAGCTGCAGAGCCTGAGGTGTAAGGCTTGCCCTTCGTCAGGTCAAAGAATGTTCTCGTTTCCCTCCAGCCTCTGCCCTGGGGAGGGTTTAGCGAGGTGCAGTTTAGTTTCAAATAGGTGAGTGTTTCCCAAGCTCCTACCATGGAAAGGGGAATGGCGGGTGGTTTTGCCGGGGCCTATGACATCCCAGCCATGGCCCTTGGCGTTCCCTCTGCGGATGCTGTCACTTGTGGCCTGGTACTTAGGGAATGGCATGTCCCCGGCCTGAGCCCCGTGGTGTTCAGCCCCCCCTGCCAACATACCACGGGCTTTCCCGGGTGTGGGCTCCAAGGATCCGGAGTAGGGAGCCAGGCAGGGACCCCTGGGCTGCCCACAATTCCCCAGCATTGTGCCCGTCACCAGTGCTGTCCCAGAATGGACAAACAGGAAGGGGGTGGCGCCCTGAGAGCTGCCAAGGCAGATACTCACCTGTCCCCAGACCAGCTCCCCAACACCAACAAACAGGCACCAGAGCCACTGCTCCGTAGACAGCGGGGAGCAGCTGAAGGGCTTTCCGCCAAACTGGACGATGACGATCTGCAGGAGAGGGGCGGGAGGGAGGTGGGTCTGGCTGGCATCCGCAGCCCTCGGGGCACACCCTGCCCTGCAGGCCTGGTGCCCTGCTCTGGGAGTCAGAGGGGTTTTTGGTTCACTCAGGTAGACAAGCCATTCCCTGGGAGTCTTCCTTGCTTTGGGCTCCTGCCCTTCCTTCCTCCCAAAACCAGGGGGCAAAAAAGCCTTCCCAGACTGGCTGACCACCGGCCGTGGGGGCCACGCCAGGTGGCGTGTGGCTTCACTGGGTGCCAGATGCCCACTGATGCAGGGGCCCTGAACTGTCCCTTTTCCAGCCTTTGGCCGTGGTTCAGCTGTGTTAGCAGTGCTTGTGGCTTCTGTAAATGTGATGGTTTAACATACATATGCCAGATACTTCGATAACGCATCTCACCTTCCTTGCCTCCTGCAGCCTCACTGCCCCTCCGTGGGAGGAGTCCTCTTCCCAGGGACGAGCTTTTCGACTGCAGACCAACTAGAGCCCACATTCCAATCTCTCTGTTCTGGGCTCTCATACTCTGGGCCACTGTGCCCCTGCCCTAATCACCCAGGGCCAGGCCCCAGACAATGAGGTTGACAGCCCTATAGCCCAGAGCCTGGAGATTATTCACACTGTCATGTCCTGAGCCTGTTCACCTCACCTTCCCAGCCCTCCCCTACAGAGCGCAGTGAAGGTTCTGTCCCGCCCAGGGTTCCCCACCCTCTCTCTGCTACTGATCAACCCAGGTGCTTCCTCTGGTGGTCCCCCATGGAGTGGCAGGCCCCCTCCTCTGTGAGAAACAAACTGTCCTGACCTGGAGGCCTCTCTAGAGCTCACATGTTCATGAAGACACCCTTGTTTTGACTGCTCAGTGCCTCATGGAGAGCTGACTGACCAGCCTGCCCACAGCATTGTGGTGTCAACACCAGGGACAGAGAGCATCTCCAAAGGAAACTTCTGGAGTGATGGTGGCCTCTTGCCAAGGAATCAAGGGCTAGAAATGGGAGGAGCAGACCTGGAAGGATCTGTGAGAAGGGCAGTTCTGAGGCGGGCACACTCAAGCCCTGTGGAAGCTAGCGAGTGAACCCAAGGCAAGGCCAGGGTGTTGGGAAGATGGACAGTGGGAGCGCGGGCAGAGCTGGTTCTGTGAAGGGAGAAGCGGAGGCTGGTGTGGAGAGCACAGGGTGGGGTGGTCCCCTCTCCCACCCCTTTCCCAGGACTGGAGCCACCCATCCTACCTGGATGGCGAAGGTGCCCAGCACGATGGTGCAGAAGATGGGGTTGCTGAAGATGCCGTCGAAGACATTGCGCTCGCCGTGGATCTTGCGGGCGTTGATCTCATTGAAGAGCTGCATCATGACGAACGTGTTGAAGATGATGGTGTAGTGCTCGGAGGGTGGGGAGTGCAGTGGCGCGTTCCTCCCACTGTCGATGTCAAAGAAGAGCTCCCCTGCAAGCCCAGGGGCCCATGAGGGAAGCCGGGCCCTGAGTGGGACCGGTGTCCCCAGGCAGGGCTGGGGTCTGCGCCGCAGCCCCGATGCCACTGCTGGGCGACTGTGAGGAGAAAGTAACGAGTCCCTCAGCCCACAGCCAAGGCCAGGGGCTGGACCAGGGGTCTGGCACTGAAACCCCGGGGACAGGAGTGAAGACAATGAGACACAAGGCTCTAAACTATCTACGCCTCAGACCCATTTGTGCACCGGCTCGAGCTGGAGGAGGAACCATGAGAGGCTTCTGCTCCTGAGAAGTTCCAGAAAAGCCCATAAGGGGACCCGTAGATGCTGATGTTGGGGGGCCCCCACCCGTGACTCTGGCCCCTCAGCAAACACCATCCCTGCACTGAGCTTCGAGTCTGCCCCTGGAAACATGGGCTGGAAGCCAAGCCACCTCCTGGTCAAGGGTCCCCAGACAGGCGGACAGCGTCCTCATGTCAGGAAGAAGCCACACACAGACCAACCAACAAACCTGCCCCCAAGGAAAGGAAGGGATCCACTGAACAGAGCTGAGGCCGGATGCAGAAGAAAGCTCCCAGGGCCACAGGGAGGGGAGGGCCAAGGGGGTTCTCACTGGAAATGGGGTCCCCAGGGGCCCGTCTGTCCCTGCCACTGCTAGACAGTGTCAGAACCCAAAGGGCCGGCAACAGCGCAGTGTGCTCCCAGGCTGACCTACCGACGAAGAGCAGTGTGAAGATGATGCTGAGCTGGTAGACTGCGTGGCCCAGAATATTCTTCATCATGGTGCGTGAGATCAGGGGCTTGTCCCGGCCATATGGCTTCCGAAGCAGCAGCGACTCAGTGGGCGGCTCGGTGGCCAGGGCCAGAGAGGCGAATGTGTCCATGATCAAGTTCACCCACAACATCTGCACAGCTTTGAGAGGAGAGTCCTGTGGAAAGGAGGCAGTCAGCCCGCCATGGGATAGGAAACCCCACTGGCCCCCCCACTCCTGGGAAGAAACTCAGCTTGGGGGGGGCAATGTCATTGGCATTTAATTCAAGTGAAACGCAACAAATCCAGCCTTCCCATAACAACGTGCCACCTCCATCCCTATGTTTTCTTAAGGGTAGCAGAGAGTTCACGCTGGGCTTTCAGATTCCTGCTCTTAAAATGCTCTCAGTCTCCCTTCCTTGCTCACCTGGTGGCAGGGATCGAGAAGGTGTGGTCCAGATTGTTAGCAGGAAGCTGCCCACCCCCATCAGTTGCCCCAGACCATCCAAGAGCCCAGCGGATGCGTGCTCTCCCGTCTTGCACACCCGAGGGGTGGGAAGAGGCAGAAACTGCACTGGACCTTCCTTCTCACAGCCTCTCAGTGGGTTAAAAGTGAGCCTCACAGAGGTCAGATACAAAAGACCACATACTGTACAATTCCTTTCCTAGGAAACTTCCAGAACTGACAGATCCACAGAGACAGAAAGCAGATGAGCGGGCGCCAAGGGCCCGGGGTGGGGAGAGTGGGGAGTGGCTGCTGAGTGGGCACAAGGGGGATGAGAAAGTTCTGGAAAGAGATAGAGGTGACTGTCGCACAAGATTGTGAATGCACTAAGACTCATCAGATCGCACACTTCAAAATGATTACAATGGTTATTATGGGAGAGTTTATGTTATGTGGATTTTATCTCAATTAAAAAACACCTTTGAAAGGGAGACAAATTCTGGACACTCACTAATGGGGAGAATTGGACCACTGGAAAAGGGGAAGAGGCGCCCCTGAAGGTGAGCTCTGGAGTTGCCAGCAGACCCAAGAGAAGTGCAAAGGCAGATCCACACAGACTTGCACACGTGTGTTCATAGCAGTCGAAGGGTGGAAACAACCCAAATGCACATTGATGGAGGACTGATCGACACAACGTGCTCTCTCCATCCACGGAACATCAGTCCTCCTTCAATGGGAATGAAGTACCTGCTACAACATGGATGGACCTCGGAAACACTGTGCTAAGGGCAAGAAGCCAGACACAACCACGCATGCTCTGATCCCATTTATCTGAAATGTCCAGGAGAGGTAAGTCTGTAGAGACAGAAAGCAGGTGTGTGGGGGCAAGGGGCTGGGGGGGGCGGGGGAGTGACTTCTCTTGGGGTCTTGGTTTCCTTTTGGGGTGATGAAAACATTCTGGAACTACATAGAGGCGATGATTGCACAACATTGTGACCGTACTTAAAAATCACTGAGTTGTAAACTCATACAGTGGATTCTTTGGTATATGAATTCTCTCTCAACCAAAAAACTCTGGAGCAAAGAAAAACCTGACTCCCACAACTGGGCCCTCGGACAGGGGCTCTTTGGCCCTCACACTGCTGGGAGCAGGGTCCCCTGGGCTTGTTCTGCACACAGGAGTCTGGGTGCATGAGGCAGGAGGGGCCCAGGGAGCCAGCTGCCTCCTTCACTCTCCCTCGGTTGTGGGAGGGGCTCAGGGGCCTCCTCGGGCACAGTGGCCCCCAGTGCCTACCTGAGTAATGCAGGCGCCTGTGAAAGCCACAATCACGGCCACCACGTTGACAGTCAGCTGGAACTGCAGGAACTTGGAGATGCTGTCGTAGACGTTGCGGCCCCACATGACTGCCTTGACGATGCTGGTGAAGTTGTCATCGGTCAGGATGATGTCCGAAGCCTCCTTGGCCACGTCAGTCCCTGCAATGCCCTGGGGGGCACACACAGATTCCATGGGCCCCTTCCCCAGCCCCCCACAACCACTCATCCTTCCCTTCCAAACGAGTCCCTTGGTCCATGCAATGAGTCCTTGCACTAGAACAGTTTTGCTCAGAGACAAAGAGGAGGCTGCCCTACTGCCACAGTTGGTTCACCTACTAGTCTCTGCCCGGTCTCTGCACACTAGAGCAGCTTGCTGTGTGGGGAGCCCCCAGGAGTCTGGCTCTGGGAAGGACTGGCCTGTGCTCCTGTGCCTGCCCAGGCAGGGTGGGAGTGGGGATGGCTGGGTCTCTGCATTCAGCAGCTGAGCAGCCTCCTGTGCTCCCAGCGCCACCCTGCTCGATGGATTTTACTGAAAGAACTAGGTCCACAAAAGCAACAGGAGAGAAGCACAGAGGAAGAGCTCATTTGGGGACTGTGCTAACCACACCTGTGACTGAGGTTCACTGAGACTGGACCGGGACATGAGGAGGCAGGTGCACAACTGACCAGTACCTCCCAACCCCCAGCAGGGCCGCCGGGCCCCGCGGTCACCTCTGGCATCATCACACCAAATACCTTTAAATAAATCGCACGTGTGTCTCCAGATCGGCAGAGCTTGCCGAGGCCCAGGTGGCCAGGATATGAGAGAAAGAAACTTCTGGCACTCTGCAACTTGCCTCAATGCTAGCCCCCACATCCCTGCACAAAGCTTATGTCCTTAAGAAGCACCCGCCTCCACCAGTGTGGTGAACTAGGCTGGCAGCAGGTGGCTTACCATGGCAAAGCCCACGTCCGCCTTCTTGAGGGCTGGCCCGTCGTTGGTGCCGTCCCCGGTCACGGCCACCACCTGCCGCTGTTCGCCGGTGCTGCTGTCAATGATGCCTGGAACACAGTAGGGCAGGGCAGGGCTGCGGCCAAACTGTGTCCCTGTGGGACCAGCCCAGGGCTGTGGGGGGGGGACCAGTTGGCTCTGGGATTGTGACTGTGCTACTGCCTCCATGCTCTCTGTCACTTTGGGACCAAGTCCCTGTGCATTGACTGGCAGGCTTGTCCCCCTTCTCCTACCCCAGCCCGTCACCCAGTGAGATGACATGGGGTGGGGCTGTGATTTCTAGAAGGCAGGGGCTCAGCGCTGTGTGACTGGGACAGACGTTTCCCTCTCCTGGGCTTCAGTATCCCCATCTGCTGGGATGAGAGACCAGCCTCCCCAGCCTCTTCCACTTGTGTTAACATTATCATCTCCATTTTCTCGATGAGAAAACTGAGGTTCAGGCAGGGCCAGTGACTTTCTCTGAGACACAAAACAAGTCTCCTGCAACAATGGGTCCAGAGCTGAGTACCGCACTTCCTAGGCAGAAGCTCAGACGACACGTGGGGGTGATGGCCACAGCCAGCCTGCGCCATGCCACCTGGGCAGGGGCAGGGAAGGGTGAGCAGGAGCGAGCCAAGTCCATTACCTTTGACCAGAGTGTGCTTGTCAGTGGGAGACGATCGGGCGAGGACCCTCAGCTTGGGCCACACCTTGTCCAGACGCTCCTGCTCTATCTGGGAGGGGACAGAATGTAGAAGCTGCAGAGCCTAGGTGGGCGGGCGGACAGGGCTGAACAGGAGGGGTTGGGGTGGAGAAAGTGCCAGAAGCCTGGGCCTGCGGGAGGGCAGATGGACCTGGAACTACCTCGCCTTTCTCGTTCCGGATCCGCCGGTTGAACTCCTTCCCCTCCAGGCACAGGAAGTCCTCCCCAGGCTGGATGATGCCGCACTTGGCCGCAATGGCCCGTGCTGTGTTGATGTTGTCCCCGGTCACCATGCGGACCGTAATGCCAGCACGCTGGCATTTGCGAATAGCTTCTGGGACCTGGAAGAGACCAGATGGTGGGTGGGGCCATCAAGGCCAGACACACATGTCCGGGCTGTACCCTTTGCTCTATCTGGATCTGCAGCACCCTGCCCCCAGCACGGGGCCTGGAGGAGAGAAGTAGCCTGTCTGCTCTGCCATCACCGTCAGCCTAGCCTGCAGGGAGCAAGGTGCCTCCCTCAGTTCCCCAGTCCCCCACCCTGCTTCTCCCAGGTGCCTCCTTCACTGTGTCGGGTCAGGGTACCAGCGACGACTCAGATCCAGACGTTGCCATCACGAGCAAGGCTGGGAGGAGCCACTGGAAACTTTTACCCTGCTGAGGAGCTGCATCAGAGCCATGGCCAAGGTTGACCAGAGAAATCACCCTGCTCTTTCAACCCCGTTTTCCACTTGGAAATGGAGACCCAGAGCAGCTGAGCCAGGACTGGCCCCAGCTCCCCAGCCAGATAGCAGGCCCTGCTGCAGCCCGGGCCCTCCAGGGGTCTGACTCAGGGTGGGCTCCCGGCTACCAGCCCTGCCATTTAAGAAAAAAAACAAAACAAAACAAAACCTAAGAGATTTAGAGCCATAGGCTTTACATGATAAGGTGCTCATTTAGGGGAAATGGAACGTGGCTTTGATGACTTAGCACACACCTCCATTTTCCAAATATAATATTAGATTCCAGAAGAGGGAGAAGAAAAAGACCCCTCTAGTGCTGAGTGCAAAATGCACTGAAAGGAGCTGAGACCAGCCAGGAAGTGGCAGCATTGTCCCAGAGAACTGAGATACTCCCATTCCCAGTGAGGAGGTGGCTCTGCGGAGGGGAGCCCGGCAGACGGTGCCTGAGGAGTGCGGAGGGGAGAGCAGCAGAAGGAGCGGGCTCAGAGCTGAGGGACTTGGATTAAGAGGTCAGACCTAGGCCTGTGAGATGCCCAGATGCAGCCCCGACAAGGGGTACAGCCTGGGGAGACCCGGCTCCCTGCTCTGTCCACTGGGCCCAGCGCCCCCGCCTGCGGGCTCCCAGTGAGCACCACTGGGCTGAGACCGAAGCCCCAGTGACAGTCTGGGCACGAGGACAGACGGCAAGAGTGGCCGGGCTTGGGAGCCCAGGGGGTGCGGTGGCTGGGGGAGCCAGAACCAGGCGGTGTGGGAGGTAGGGCAGCTGGGAGACCCCAGGGCAGGCGGGCAGCAGGGGAACCCCAGTCTGGGAGGTCCGGGCACACTGGTGGCCCCTGAAGCCGGGGGTAGTGGCTGTGATCTCAGCCAAGGAGAGAGTGGGCGTGAGAGGAAGAGGGGGACCCGGGCCCAGCCAGAGCACCCCCACTTCAGGGCTGTGACACAGTGACCCTATGATCCCTGTAGCAAATACTGCCAAGTGGCCTAGAAGGCCAAGCCCCCAGGAGGGTCTTGCACCCCACACCCCCATAGACCTCTCCTTGCTGTCAGCCTCAGGGATTCTTTCTGCTCTGTGCGGATTGTGGGGTGCTGAGTGATGAGCTCCAGGGAGACACTGCCCTTCCAGCAGCCTCCTCCTGGCTCTGAAGTGTCTGGAAGCCACTCCTCTGCTGCCACCAAGTGGCCGTGATAAGCCTGAGCCCGGCGAACAAGGAACCCAGCCTTGGCTCATCTTGTGTAGGTGCAGCCCAGGCATGGCTTCCTCTCTGGTCCCCAAGGCCCCAGGCCTCCCAGCTAGGTGGTGGGAAGCTCCTGCCATCCACCAGTGCCCTCTCCCTCATCAGGCGACTGTCCTGACTCAGCTGCCTCTCTGCTGTCCCCTGGGCCCAGCCCTGGTCCCTGCCTGCTGACTGAGGGCAGACAGCACAGCAGCTAGTGCAGTGCCTGCCAGAGCCCCGGCACCCCTCTGGCATAAATACAGCCTGCCTCTGGTCTCATGCGGCACCCCAGGGCAGACACCCCCTAGGGCTTCCTCCAGCTGCAGCCGTGCCATGCCCCTAAGCATCCTGGCAAGTGTAACAGAGGCCAGGATCTGCTGGGCCCTTGGGGTCCCTCCTTGGCCACCACCCAGCCAGCCAGTCTCCATGGGGTCTGCTGGGCTTCCCCAGCCGGGCCGTGTTGGTGTCATCTGCCGTCCAGACTCTCACTCAACCACTGTGAAGCCAGAGAGGCGCTATCCTGTGCCCTGGGCCCTTTTAACAAAGCTGGTTCTGGATCTTAAGTGAGCGGCCCGTTGCCTGGCCTCGAGGCCTGTCCCACCCTGTGGTTCCACCTGCCGGGGCAGCCACTGTGGCTGGGTCTTCACAGTGAGAAGAGTACTGACCAGGAGAAGGGCTGGGCCTCGCCCCACCCATGTGCAGCTATTCTGGACTGTTCTATCTTACCCCCACCCCATCCAGCCTCATTGGCACTTCTGTAAATGAGAGGATGGAAAGGTGGCTGCTGCAGTTCCGTTTTGGAGATCTATGAATACACCTGTGCCTCCAAGCTGACATCTATGACTCAAGCTTCAGTTTGCAACAAATATTTATGCCAGAAATTAGGGGAAGCTGGTAGGAAATGGCCTTGACCATGGCCCTGGGAGTCTGGGAACGTCGTCTTCCTGGGTTTGTGAGACATTCAACAGGAGCTCCAGCCTTCCAGCAGCTTCCCTCAGCCCCAGTAAACTGTGTAGAAAAGTCTAGAGCTGCCACTGTCGATGCCTTCTGAGAAGGAGCAGCACAGAACCCCACGTGGGGCTGGCAGCCATTTGTGGGTAGGGGTGAGGGTGAAAGGCTCTATCCAGAGGGGAGGCCATCGGGTCTGTATAAGGGCATCGTGGCTCTAGGACTTGGCTGGCTGTATGGACGCAGCCTGCCTCTCTGCCTCAGTCTTTCCTTGGTGCGACAAAGGGAAAGGCCGGTCCCTATGTCCTTGGGGGCAGCCCTGTCACCTCAGCAGCACCCCCAGGCAGCTCCTCCAACCCCCCACCCCCGCCTTCTCCAGGCCTGTTCCTCTGGCTCAAAGTCTCTCCACCTCAACTTTGCCACCATCTGCTTCCTCCCGGGGCTGACTCCAGGTGCCCCTTCTCTGCACACGAAGTCCCCGTCTCCGGGGAATTTGGGGGCATGCTGTCACTGATGACCCACGGCCGGTGTTTAGCTGCGGCAAGGATTGACTTCTGAATTGAGGATCTCTGGTACCCGACCCAGTGTATAAATGCGGGGCTCCTGCAGGAGAGCCGAGAAGCTTCCCCCTTGTCTCAGCACCCCTCCCCTACCCCACGCCCCAGCCCCCACACATACATTTTCAGGCTAAGTCGCAGGACCCAGGTGGTCCGGCTTCTGACATGAGTGGGCGCCACCGGAGAGGCCCTGGGAGGAGAGAGAGGGTCCTTCCCTGCCTCGCAACCTGCACCCTCGGTGCCTTGCACGCTCCCTCTGGGCCCAGTGTCCTGCAGCTGCCTGGCTCCCCGCTCCAGGGCCCGCCCGCGAGGCTCTCCCTCCTTCAAAGGTCTCATATCTTTAAGGACCAATAACCCTCCCCATCGCTCTTCCACTCTGTACCCTGACCAGCCTCTGCCCTGTCTCTGTTCCTTCTTCAGAAAGCTCGGGTGAAGTGTCCACACACTGGCCCCTCAAGCACCATCGCAAGGTGATGTCCCAACGTCCAGGGCCCGCCTCTGCCACAACCTGCCTTAAGCCACCCTCTTGCTCTGGCCACATGCTCCTCAGTCTCCCTTCCCTGACTGGCCCCTTCCTTGCAGTTTCTTTCACAGGCTCCTCCCACCTCTGCTCAACTGCACCCCATGACTGTCAGTCACGTAAAGACGCTTCTGGAGAACCTCTCTCCAGCCAGGACCTTTGCACCAAGCTCTCCATGCCTACAGCCACCTAACCTGTTCACATTTCCGTGGGGATGTCCCAAACCTTGCTCAACCCCAACCTTCTGCTCCCCTGCCCCAGCCCCCTAAGCCCAGTTATGGCAGCACCATTCACCCAGTTCTCCCCAGCTCCTCCCTCTCCCTCACCAGCCCTTCTGATCCATCCGTCCTACGGCTGAGGTTCTAACTGCCACCCTCTCTCATCTGGCGGAGGCAGGACAGAGCCTCTGGGCGGGTGCAAGGGCGCGAGGACAAAGGAGGTCCAGTGCTCCGCCATCGCCCACCTTACCCAGTAGTTCCAACTGTGGTGGGTGGCCAGTTTGTTTCACCTATAAAGTTGGGCAGGGAGTGCTGTGGTGGCTGGGAAGGCAGGAAAAAGGGGCGGTCCCCTCCTTGCATTTTTATGGCCACTTGGGAAGCAGGGCTCCCCCTCCACCCATCCGGACAAGCCGGGCCTCCCAGAGGGGCTCTGGCTACCTCGGGCCGCACAGGGTCCTCGATGCCCACGACAGCTATGCAGGTGAGGTCGCCCACCACCTCGTTTTCATTGTCCCAGTCAGGCTCCTGGGTGGCCAAGAAGTCCCGGTAGGCAATGCAGATGGTGCGGAGGCCATCACAAGCCATTGGCTCGATGATCTTCTTCACCATGTCGTCCCGGTCCCGAGGGCGGAAGCCGCGCAGTTCGCCACTGCTGTTCAAGATGTTGGTGCACCTGGGGTGAGACAGGATGAGAGGAGCTGGCGCCAGAGAGTTGAGCCCTGCACCTGACACAGCAGAGGGGCTTCTCCAAGTGGGGAGGCACTTGGCTTGGGCGGGGCCTAACATGGTACCCGCCGTCCGCATTCATGTTCTTCCTGGGACCTCAGCATGTGACCTTATTTGTAAAGAAGTTGTTGCAAAGTTAAGAAGAGGCCCTTGGTCCAATGACTGATGTCTTTATAAAGAGAGAAGAGGACACACAGAGACACAGACACAGGGACGAGGCCACGTGATGATGGAGGCAGAGACTGGAGAGCTGGATCTATGAGCTAAGGAAGGCCAAGAGCCGCCAGCCACCACCAGAGTGGGAAGAGACAAGGGAGGGTTTGGAGGGAGCACGGCCCTGGGATTGAGGGCAAGAGGTGGAACATGAGCAAAACTGAGTGCCATGGGGCCGGGCGACGGCGAGGCAGCAGCCACAGTGGGGCCAGGCCGGGGAGGGCTGGCAGGACTCCGATGGAGAAGAGGACGGAGCAAAGGAACCGCAGGCTGCAGAGGCCAGTGTGGCAGAGGGACGGACAGGGCCCCGAACAGGCTGGTGAAGAAAGACAGGAACTTACTGTGGAGGCCAGTGGAGGAGGTGGCCTTTGCCCTGGGCTGGGGAGGCTGCACCTGGGCAGACTTTCGGGGAAAAGCATTTTGGATGGGGAGCCAGGTGGGTGGGAGAGGGCATATGGGGGCTGCTGTAGTACTGGGGAAGAGAGACGACAAGGCCAAGGGGAGGTGTGAAGGCTGAGCAGGCTTGTGGGGTGGGGCACTGGACGTGGACCTGCGTGCCGCCTGCCTCCATTTTTCTAACAGCTCTGCTGAGATATAATTCACAGAGCACATGATTCACCCATTGAAAACCTACAAGGCAATGGCTTTCAGTACATTCACAGTCGTGCTACAACCACCAAAGGCAACTTTAGAACATTCTCATCACCTCTAAAAGGAACCCCACGCAAGCAACAAAAGAGAAACAGAGATAAATTGGACTTCACCATTGGAAAACATTTGTGCATCCAAGGACAAATCAAGAGAGTGAAGAAAGAAATCTCTCAAGAGAGTGATAAGATGACAGCCTACAGAATGGGAGAAAACACTTCCAAATCAGGTACGTGTTAAGAGTCCAGTATTCAGAACATACCGAGAGCTCTTACAGCTTAACAGTAAAACGACTAACAACTCACATCAAAGACGGGCAAAGGCTGGAGCAGATACTCCTCCAAAGAAGAGAAACAAATGGCCAGTAAGCGCATGAAAAGGCATCAACATCACTAGCCATCAGCGAAATGCACATCAAACCCACCGTGAGACCCCACTTCACATCCACTGTCTTCATGATAATAAAACCCAGATAACAACACACGTTGGTGAAGATAAGGAGTTGGAACCATCCTCCACTGCTGGTGGGAATGTAGCATGGGGCAGCCCCTGTGGAAAACAGTTTGGTGTCCCTCAAAAACTTAAACATGGAATTACCATACAGCCTGGCAATTTTATTCTCAGGAATATACCCATGAGAACTGAAAACATGTGTTCAAGCAAAAACTTACACGTGAATGTTCACAGTGGCATGATTCACAGTAGCCCAAAGGTGGGAACAACCCAAGTGTCTGTCAGTGGATGACTGGCTAAACAGAATGTGGTCCAGCCATACAACAGAACATTATTCAGCCACAAAAAGGAAGGAAACCCTGGGACAACTTGGATGAACCTTGAAAACGTGAGGCTCAGTGAAGGAAGCCAGGTGCAGTGACCACATACTGTATGATTCCAGAAATGTCCAGAACAGGTGAATCCAGAGACATAAACCAGACGGGTGGCTGCCAGAGGCCGGGCAGTGGGGAGGGAGGTGCCTGCTTTGTGGGCATGGGATCTCCTTTGCGGTGATGAACTTGTTCTGGGACTGGATGGCGGTGATGGTGCACAGCCTTGTGAATGTTGCTGAATGTCACTTTATGCCACTGAACTGCCCACTTTAAAGTGATTAAAATGGCCAGTTTTATGTCATGTCTATTCTACCCTTTAGCAAGCCCCTAGCTCCTGGCGTCCCCAGCCCCAGGCTCGGTACTGCCGTCCACTCACTTTTTCAGCAGGATCTCTGAGGCACCCTTGCTGAAGAGGCGGAAGCCGCCGTCAGGTGTGCGGATGACTGTGCTCATGGACTTTCGGACCGAGTTGAAGGTGTACACCTTGTAAAGCTTCTCTTCAGGAATCTGCTCCCGCACAGGCTGGAAGTCCCGCTTCAGGTCCAGGACGAAGCCCAGCAGGGCGCACTCCGTCTTGTTGCCCACTTGGCGGGGGAGGGCACCCTCCTTCTCTGGAGGCTGCAAGGTGAGGAGAACCAGCATGGTCCCGGGGACCCAAGGCTACCCCCTTGCTGTCCCTGGGGCTCTGGCCCAGCCTCAGCCACCACGTCTTTTGTGGGTGGAGGCAGGGAGCCAGGCAGGCCTCCAGCCCGGACTCGACCAGGAGGTTTCCCACAGTGCACCAGGCTGGGAAGTGTTCTAGAACCTGCAAGCCCTGCCCAGTGTCCAGGGATGAGGAGGGTGACCAGCACCCTGGAAATGACTGTAGCTCTGGGCGAAAGTTCTTAAGAGAGCTTAGTGAGCCCATGGTGATAGTTCAGGCCATGGCTTGGCCAGGCCCCCTCCCCCATCGCATCCCCACCTCAGCCCGCCTGCCGCTCACTCCCGGCTCACTAGAATTTTGGTGGTGTAGGCACTGTTGATAGAGATGGCGTGGACCAGGAGATCGAGGATCTTGGGGGTCAGGGCACCGGGGGCCGGAACCTCTTTGTAGTGGGTGTCTCCGAGGTAGGACTGGACCACGGTCATACGGTTGGTGGTGAGCGTGCCCGTCTTGTCTGAGCAGATGGCCGTGGCATTGCCCATGGTCTCGCAGGCGTCCAGGTGGCGGACCAGGTTGTTGTCCCTCATCATTTTCTGGAAAGGGCACAGATGGAAGCTTGGGTAGCCAGCTGCCCTGGGGGCAGGGATTGGCCCACGGGGTGGGGGAGCAAGAGGTCATCAGTACAGCATCATGTATGATTGTGCTTGGCCCAGCCAGCTCTCCGAGCAGCACTAACAGCCCGGGGAGCCTCGGTCAGCAGGCACGCACCCCCACCACTGGGCCAACAGCAGTGCCCAAGGGTACAGCTTGGAAAGGGAGCAGGGTGGCGGGCAAAGCTAGGCAGCAGGCTATAAGGTGTAAGGGCTCTCAACAGACAGGCCAAGCAATGGAATCTGGGCAGCTGCTCTCCCTGGAGCTCCACTGGGGCCTCCCCACTGCCCAGGATGATGTCACAGACCCCTCTTCGGTCACCTACAGGCCCCGTGGCTTCCCTGCCCACCCGATCTCTGCCATGCTCTGCCCAGTGTCTCCCAGTGGTCACCCTTCCTCTCTGTTCCCACCTCAACTCCCTTCCCCCTCAGTTCTCCCGCCCTCATCCTGCAGAAGCCAGCTCATCTCACTGTGCCCAGGAAGCCAGGTGGGGAATGGTGTCCAAGCCCGGCTCTGTGTCCCTGCTTAGCCTTCCCACTCTTCCCTGAGTGACCCCAAACTTTATCTGGTCCTCATTTCTTACAAGTTGCTTAATGGCTTTGTCCCCAGTTCCTGGGTCTGTATCCCAGTATTAAAAGATTCTTATTCCTATTGTGTTTATTACCTTGACAGAGTAAGCTAAGGAGATGGTGACAGCAAGAGGCAAGCCCTCTGGGACAGCCACAACCAGCACAGTGACCCCGATGATGAAGAACTTGACGAAGTACTGCACGTAGACGGGCGTGCACTCTGCCAGCCACACCCGGCCATCCACGACGAAAGTCTCGATCACAAAGTAGAGGACCAGGATGATGACGGTGATGGCGGACATCACCAGCCCTGCCCAGCCATGATAGAGGCCACAGAGGGTGGAGGCAGGAAGCGGGGTCAGCAGGGGGCGAGGGAGGGAGAGAGCAAGAGGAAAGAGGTGAGGGACACTGTGGCCGGCATTAGCTTGAGCCCAGGTCAGAGGAGGTGCTCCCTGTCCTTGGCCTGACAGAGGGTTACTATCGATACTCACCCACCGGGGCTGAACCTGGCCCTGAAGGCCGTCACCTACTCTGGGCCTGGCCTCTTGCTGCCTGGCCCGCACGCCCGTCACATCCCTTTCCCACGTGTTCTCCATGACCCAGCATCACGTCCCGGAGCCCAGTGCCCTCCACGCCTGTCGGTGGCCCCAGGGCCACCCCCTCGGCTGCCCCCTACCTGCTTTCCCGATCTGCACGGCCAGTTTGGTGAGCTTTCCCTGAAGGACTGACTTCTCCTTCTTGGGCACACTGGCTTTCTTCTTCTCCCGCTCCTCCATCTCCCCGCCTTCCGCGCTCTTCAGGGGCTGCATTTCCATGGCAACAGCCCCATCCTGCTTCTTAGCTGCACACAGAGGAACCCCACAGCCAAGGTTAGGGCCTGGCGGCTGGGGTGACAGCTACAAGGGGCTTTCAGAGGGAAAGACATGCCACACCATCCAAGAGGAAATGAGGGCTTTGTCCTCTCCCTCCTGTCCTGTCAGCCCAGGCCCTCCTGAGGTGGGCAGTGGCTCCGGCGCTGTCCTGAGCAGGACAGAGATGGTTCTCTTGGAGCCTTGCAGGGAAAGAGGGGACAGACACAAGCACCAGTGACTTGGGCACACAGACAGCGTGGCCAGTCCTGTAACACCCCAAATCTCAATACCTGAAAGCATAGGTCTGGAGCCCATGGAACGTTCCAGAACCCTGAGCTGACTCATTGGCCCGCTGGTGTCCAAGCCACATCCCTGCTCCCCTCAGGGAGGCCCAGGAGTCCCTGCACTCTCCTCCTCTGCTCCTTGCTCAGGCTGTCTCTTTTCTTGCCCGCCCCTTGAGTAGACACGTCAGGGCCTGGGCTCACCCCATGCACCCTCCTCAGCCTACTCCCCATTTACCAGTGGGCAAGCATTGCACCTCTCTCTCTTCATGGAGCCTTCACTACTCCTCCCTAGCTGCCTCTCCCCCTCACAGCTCCCCTGGTGGGCCCTCCTGTGGTGGTGGTGTGTCCCCCACCCTGTCTCTGTCCCCTCCGTCACCTCACACACACCACGGCCTGCCGGGCCTCCAACTACACTGCCCTGCGTAATTTTCTCCATCCCCTACCTGGAGGGGACACTCAACCCTGCCACTCGTCCTTGTCCCCACCCAATGGGGTTCCTGGTGCCTCTGCAAGCCTCCTGTGTCAGCTGCCCCCTCTTGTTCCCATCTGCTTACCCACCCCTTCTCCCCTGAGACCACTCACCAACAGCTGCTGCTTGCCACAGCCTCAGGCCACAGCCTCAGCAACACTCAAAGCCCCACTCAGCTGGGCCACTCTAGCCTCTACCTGCCAACTGCCAGTCTGTGCCCCAGGCGAGCCCCCGGCCCCTGGGGCAAGTTGCCCTTCCTGAGCCTCAGTCTCGGCCCCAGGATGCCAGCTCACAGGCCAACTCTGCTGCGTCCAGCAGGGTCTGCAGACAGGCTGCCCCACCCCACTCACCTGACCTCTTGGTGCTGCTCCTGCAACTGAGGCGGGCGGTCCCCCACCCTGTGCCATCCCCTCTGCCCCCCACCCTGAGCACAGGGCGCGCATTACCTTTGGTCTGGCTACTCTCCATCGCCCCATCCTGTTGCTTGCCTACAACGGAAGAGGAATGACAGACACGGAGACTTGAGAACACCCACGTGGCCCTGGCACATGCACGTGGACACACACACAGGACAGCAGGGCACAGACAGTGCAGCCAGTGAGCACAGGGAAAGGGGAGAGAGAGAGGAAAGAGGGCCCTTCGCCACCTCCTGGCAAGTGGGGGCCACAAGCACACTGGGCTTCCCATTAGCCTTGTCCCTAGCCCTCCAGCGAACCCCTGAAGCCAGTCCTGGACAGACCCTGGGTCACGTGTGGCTGGCAGTGGGAGGTTTCTGGAAGGGCCACCACCATGAGTAATGAGAACTGCCAGGTGTCCAGTCCCAGCTCTGCTGCCTTAAACAGGGACCCCTGGTCAGGATGTGCAGTCCCCGCAGAACCACCGCGAGGGGTTTACCTAGGTGGTTCCTAACCCCTGGCGGTCTAGAGATGAGCTTTCTGGGCAGCATGGCCGGCGGTTGGCTCTGGGTGCGCTTTAGAGGAATGAGGGAGCCAGACTCTAGGGATCTGCCAGGCTCAGGACGCTGGCTGGGCACTGGGCACCTAGGGCACTGGATGGGGAGGGAGTGGCAGGGCCACGGGACGGGCTGGGCTCCAGGCGGACCTGTGCCGGGACTCCTTCATGCTAGTGCTCGGGCACCATAAAGCCTGTGGCTTGGTGCTCAGGATGATGGCAGTGACTGGCTTCCCAAGGCCAAGGTCAACAGTGCTGGCCGTGCTTCTGGCTTCCAAAGCCCGGAAGGACTGCAACCCTGGGAGGGTCCAGGAGACCCGACAGGTGAGGGGCCTGGGAAAGCAGTTTGAGCAGCTCTCCCGAGGGCCACATACGCATTGGCAGATGACCACCCCGGGGCAGGAAGCTGGCTTGTCAGCCACCACCCGGCAGCTCATGTCACTCAGGATCCAGGAACACAGATGGGGGCCAGGCAGCTCCCAGACAGGGGGCCTGGTCTGGGGGCCCAAGGGAGGAGGGAGAGGCCCTCTCAGCCCCAGTAGGGTGTGGGTTTGGCCCTGTAGAGGGGGTTCGGAGGTGAAGGACACTTCCAGGGTGAGGAGGGGAGACACCTGCAGACACAGGGTGACAATACAGCACAGTGAGATGGTGTTGCCAGAGGAGGGCTGGGCCTGGCCTGAAAAGAGGAGGAAGGGTAAGAGGTAACCCCAAGGAGAAGGATGACTAGGAAAGGCCAAAAGGCAAGAAATAGGTGGGGGTGGGCAGCGGTGACCCTTGTGGGCAGGGAGCGTTGAGCCCTTAGACAAGGATCAGGAGGCGGTGAGGGCGAGGGTTGGAGCAAGAGGGAGATACTGGGTGTGGCCACTTTCCTCTTTCTACAGGGGCCCGCGGCCTTTGGGCCGAGACCTTGGTGAGGGGTCGTGGGTGCCTGGTCAGCTCTGCTCCCCGTCCAGGGCCCCTCAGGGTCCCCTCATTCCAGGAAGCCGGCTGGTGGGGCGCCTCCTCTGACTCACAAGTAGCGCAGCAAGGCGGAGAGAGGGGCCCGGGCCGGGGGCTGGGGAGGGGGAGGAGGGGTCTTGTCAAGGTTGGAGAGGATAGGCCTAGGACCGAGTCCTGAAGGGCACTGACATTTAACGGACCTGGAGGGAGGAGAGGAGCCTGGAAACGAATGTGGAGGGGCGCCCTGACAGCCAGCCATCAGGGTGTTGCTGGAGGGCCACCAGGGACTCCAGTCCGGCCCAGACGAGGCCAGGGCCTGCCTACCCACCCACTTGCCCTCCGGTGGGCCCCAGGGTGCTCACTGTGGAGACACTGGGCTGAGCCCTGCAGGGAAGAGGCACTGGTGTGGCAAAGGTAGACAAGCGTCCACCAGTGCTGGCAGGCTGTGAGGGGCAGGCCTGGCCAGCCAGGAGCAGGGAGAAGCCCTTGCCGAGAAGCTGGGCCCAGGCTGCTAGGAGGTGGTGCCCATGGAAGCTTCTAGGCCACAGCGACTCATCAATCTCCTCCCTCCACCGCCTCCAGCAGCACGGTGGCCCAGGGCTGGGGACACTAGTGCCTCCTTCCTGATGTTGATCTGTCCCTGTGTTGCTGGGGCTGGCAGACCGATCCCACCTGCTCTCCAGGTGACTGACTGAGGTGGAGCTGGTGACCAGCACCCCTCCATCCCCTGCTCAGCTCAGCAGCCCCAGCGTCTCATTGCCCCTTCTAGCGGGCCCAGGGGGTTCACTCAGAGGTCAAGTGCGCAGCTAGAAAACATCATCCCTCACTTGGTGTGATCACAGGAGTGGCCTGAGGGGAGACCCAGGTCAGAGCAAGGTGAGTTGGGAGCAGATACAGGCCTGAGACATGGAAGGGAATGGGGTCTTGATGGGTAGGGGCTGGGGGGAGGTCAGGGGCAGCTCTGTAGCTTTCTAAGCCTTGTTCCAAGGACTGGAGGGACGCTGGCCATGCTGGGGCTCAGAGCAGTGGCAAAAGGAGGCAGCAGGATAGCTATGTGCCAAGGAGGCCAGGGTGGACACAGAGCTGGGCTCTTGGAAGCCACCTGTCCCTCTGCACTGCTCTCCCTTGGAGGGAGAGCCCACCCCATCTCAGCTTCTTCTGGCCCGGGATGTCCCTTCCATTTGGGAGCCCTCCACCTCTGGCCATGTGACCTTCACTTCCCCAGCTGCTGTGCTGGCCTGGGACCCTCAGCACCTCACCGAGGGTGGGCACGAGACCCCGGCAGCACTCTCCCAAGACAGGGTGGCTGGTCCCTGTCCCTCCAGCCCCATTTCTACCCAGGCAGGCCACTCTGCCAACCCTAGCACCCACATCCCAAAACCTTTCGGGACGGACCATGTGAGGGAAGCTGCCCTTACACAGAACTGGGGGCCCCCAACCTGCCGGCTTTGGGGCAAAGACCCCAAAAGAAGAATCTCCAGAAGGAATCAGAAGACAGGGTATGGCATCCCGTCCCCCTCGAGGGCTGGTTCTCCCCAAAGCCGGAGACAGGGATGAGGCCAGTGAGGGATAGTCAGTGGCAGGTGTAGAAGAAAGAGCAGGTTTTTACAACATCACGGGTGAACCGTAATGTAAACTATGG